CCCCCCTGGCCCGTACAGCGGGCGGGGCGGGGAGCCCGCCGGCCTCTCAGGGGCGCGGGCCGGGCCGGCGGGACGGCGCGGTCTCTCCGCGCCTCTCGGCGGCGCGGGCGTTCTCTGAGGAGAGACCGGGCGGGTCGGTAGCGCCGGCCGCGGGGAGGCCCGAGGTACGGGAGGTTGCCCCGGCCGGCAGGCAGCTCCCTGCCCTTCTCGGGGACGCTGCGAGCATCGCGCGTACCGAGCCCGTCCCCCGGCGGTGCTGAAGGGACGGGCTGCTGCCGCCCCGGGCAGCCCTCCGGCGGGATCGCGGCGGGCCAGGCGTTCAGCCGCGGCAGCGAAACTGCGGGCAAGCCCCACCGAGCGTGTCGTCTCCAGCGCTCGCATTTGTAGTGAGATACGTCTGAAGAGCCTCCTCCATTAGTATAAGCGTCAGGGGCAACGCTGGGCGCGACTAACAGGTGGGTTTGTGCCTCCAATTAAGGGAAATGGAGGCGTCGGGCAGCGCTGAACCCGTCGCGGCGCAGAAGCTGCCAGGAATTTCGGCGTCGGTGCAGACAGAAGCTAGCTGGCTTCATGAACGCGCCCACGGAAAATCAAGTAAGAAACAGCCTCGTTCAAGAAAGAGGTTGCTCACTTGTACTGCCATTCACTCAAGCTGCCTCGTACCCCACCGACTTTCGTGGAAGGCGCGTGACTTTGCAATTTCCCGAGATCCGTTTGCAAAGTGGCAGCCCACCCGGGAGCAGCCCCCAGGAATCCCCCTCTGCAGTCCCCTCGTTAACCTCTCTGCAGAGCCGCTTCTAAATGAACCTCTGGGTCCCCATTAAGCATGCGGGAACGCTCTGCCAGCCAGCAGGCGTAGGAGTGCTCAGCAGGCAGCAGAAATAGCGTATTGTACTCCTGCGAGAGGTACTGGCAAAGCCTCTAAGGAGAGCTGAAAATATATCAACCTTTTTTCTCCTTCTGCTCGGCTGAGTCATCCCGGCACGTGACCGAGTAACCAGCTCCTTCGCTTGCTCGCTGCAGTACAGCGTTGTACCTTAGCATGCAGCATATTAGTGGTAGTTGCTGCCTGATCCCATCCCCTTTGGGCACCGCATCGAACATCCTTTGTGCTTCATTTTCAATGCCAGGCAGCTCTCCTCTGTAGGAGAATGTCTCCTGCATCTCACGTGCCTCTGAGAGCAGGAGGAGTGATCTGGGCCACAAAACACAGCACACCAGCTGAAAGTACTAGGGAAAGCTGCATGCAGACCTATCTCAATAGAAAGGGGGCATGCACAGACCACGACAGATAAACAGTGCTCTCTTTGTTTGGAAATGCACTGTGAACATGTTTGCAGGAGAAAAACAGAATAGGCTTTGTACTTTAGTTGGAGCTTCACGAGTCCTTGGGATGACTGTCGCTGTAACGATCAAAGTACAGCATAACCAAACTTGTGCCAGCAGTAAATCATCTACCTGGGTTTGGATGCAGCAGCGGTAGGTAGATAGAGATGATACAGAAGCTGCAAAGCCCATTAGAGAGGGCAGAGTAAGAACATGGAGTGTCCACCTGCTCTGAGCGCTGCGCCCCAGGTACCAGGCGTCCCTGTGTCCCTCGGTGCCATGGTGCACCCAGAGCCGTGCCCCAGCTGCACAGCTCCACTGGTGCATTTTGCACTCCCTGAAGTCACTTCTTCTCAGGCAGGGTTTGTGATCAGTTACTCTCTGTGACACAGCTTGATTGCAGAGGGCGATAACTACACGTCTTTGTACTGCAATTTAAAAAGACAAAGTTCAAGGAAACCAGCAGCCACATCATTCAGCCTTCTAAAAGCATAAGCAACTCCCATAGCATCACTTTCTGCCGCTTTCTGCTTTTCCTCCTGTGTGGGTGCATTCACTTCCAGACGCCTGCCTGAGCTGTGGTTCCCACTGCAGGCCTGAGAGCTGGGTGTTGACCTGGGGCTGTCGCAATTTTTACCCCTTCCTTTTTAAATACCTGTCCTGATTTTTTCATACTTTCCAAAGAGGAGGACTTAGAAAGGATTTGGTATTTCAGCCTGCCCAGAGTTTCATCTGGCTGAGTGTTTTCTGGAAAGCAGAACAAGCTTACTTAGAAGG